TAACAAATGCAGGGGATGTTGTCAACTTGGATTTGAAGGAAACATTTGAACATGTTGCATATGAAAGACTGATTAATGGCATTGAGACTCAGGGAATAGGATGGTCAATAACAAATTGGATCAAAAATTGACTTAAGGACAGAAACCTCAAGTCATTGCTAAGTGGTTGCATTTCAGACTGGATGGTGGTAACTACTGGTGTTCCTCAAGGGTCAGGATCCAGGAATCATCAAAGGCCATTCAATTTACTGTGCCTATTCTGGTCCCCTTAAGGAGTGTTTCCCGTAGTGATTCTCTCCTGCCCTCTCCCCATACCTCTGCACATTCCTCTCTCTAATACGAAAATTATTTCGAAAATGGAGAAAATAATTACAGCACAGAAGGAGGCCACTCTGCCCATCATGTGTGCACCACCTGAAAAAGAAACAAACCAGCCTCAGCCCATTCTCCAGTACTTAGTCCATACTGCTGGAGATTATGGCACTTCAGGTAAATATCCAGAACTTTTTAAATGAGTTGAGGGTTTCTGTCTCTACCATCCTTTCAGACTCTGAGTTCCAGACTCTGACTAGTCTCCACAGGTATCACCATTCCTCATCTCTCCTGTAATCTGTCCACTAACCATTTTAAATCTATAGCCCCCTAGTCACTGTCCTCTTTGCTAATAGGTCATTCCCATCCACTTCACCCAAGCCTCTCATAATATTGTACACCTGAAACAAGCCTCCCGTTAGCCTCCTCAATTCTGAGAAGAACAATCCCAATTTATCTAATCTTCCCTCATAGCAGTATTTTCCAGTCCTGGCAACATCCTTGTAAATCTCTTCTGTCCCCTCACTAATGCAATTGCATTGTTTCAGTACAGAACTGATCAGAGCCGCACACTGTACTCAGGGTATGGACTTACTGATTATTTATGCAGTTCCAGAAAACAAAGGAAAGAATTCAATTTTCTTCAGTCCATCCTGCCATCTACTGGGATATCTGCACATTCACTCCAAGGTTCCTCTCATCGTCTACACCTCTCAATATTGTCTCATTTATTGTGTATCCCTTGGTCTTGCTTAACCTCCGTAAATACATCACTTCACACTTCTCTGGGTTGAATTCCATTTGCCACTTATTTGCCTAGCTGACCAGCCAATTGATATCTTCCTATATTCTCTGGCTTCCCTCTTCACTGTCCACCTTGTGGCCAATTTTTAACATCATTGCAAACCTCTTGATTGTGGTCTCTGCAAAAAATGTCCAAATTCTTAACAAATGGCAAAAAAAACCCAGGAGACCTGGTACTGAGTCCTGCAGAACCTCACTGGAAACATTCTTCCAGTCGCAAAAACATCCACAAATCTTTTGTTTCCTGCCAGTAAGCCAATTTCATATCCAGCTTGCTATGTTCCTTTGGATCCTGTGGGCTTGTATTTCCAATGCTGCTTTTTTTTGCGATATAGGAATATTGGGAAAAATGTCCGATGATACTATACTTGGAGGTGTGACTTAGATGATGATGCCAATTGACTGAGTAGGGCATCAGCTGGCTAGCAGGATGGGCAGACACTGTCAAATTGGAATTTAATACAGAGAAAATGAGAGATGATGCATTTTGGCAAAAGGCAAAGGGAGAGGAAATATAGGCTCAGAGGTGCAGCTCTAAATAGTGTGCAAGGACCCAGAGACCTGAGGGTTCATGTGCATCAATCTTTGGTAGGTCATATTGACAGCACAGTAAGCAAAACATCACCTTAAAGAGTTTTAACTATTTAAATATACTCTTCACTTACTTGCCTTGCATTTTATGTATTTTAATAACTATATCACCATTTTAGGTACTATAACGAAATTCAGAATAAGAAAGGTTGACCAATCAACTTGTTCTTTTCCTTTGTGGTAGAGCAGGACCCAATTCCAAACAGCTCCAATGAAGCTAGCTCTGTCTCTGACTGTCTCTCTTAGGTTTCTCACCCTGCTTGCTGTTACGTTCACTGTTTTCCAATCTGATGCCACCGTCCCCATTTTGAGCAAATGTTGACTCAAAAAAAATTGAAATAACTGTGGATGCTGGAAATCTGAAACAAAAACAGAAATTGCTGGAAAAGCTCAGCAGGACTGGCAGCATCTGTGAAGAGAAATCAGAGTTAACATTTCGGGTCCAGTGATCCTTTTCATAACTGATGGTAACTAGGAAAAGGATGGCTTTTATATAGAAGATAGGGTGGGAGGAGGGGGGAGGAATAAACAATAGGCAGGAATAGAGCACAGAAAGAAAAACAGTTGCATCAACAAAGGAGTGGTTAACGGTAAGTCTGGAATGAATAGCTACCAATGGGGGGCTATTAGTGGTTGTCAATGGGTAGTGTGTGATAGCAGCCCATGTGATGCCCAGGCTTGGTGTGTGGGAGTGGGGAAAGATGTTCAAGCTCTAAAATTGTTGAACTCAATGTTTGAGTTCAGAAGGCTGCAACGTTCCCAAGTGGAAAATAAGGTGCTGTTCTTTCACCTTGTGCTGAGCTTCGCTGGACCACTGCAACAAACCCGAGACAGAGACATTGGCCAGAAGATTGGACCGAATATTAAAAAAAAGGAAAGGAAATGATTAATAAAGAGGGAAAAATTAAAGTACAGTTACAGTACCTTTCCACTAGCCCTACACACCAGTCCTTGTGATCACAAGGGCTACTCCCACACACAACCCATTGTCAGCAACTAAAAGTCCCCATTAGCAGTTAGTCATTCTCCGAGGCTGGTCTTTATCCACTCCTTTGTCAATCCAACTGTTTTTCTCTCTCTTTGAGCTCTATCTCCATCTATCGATTACCACCCCAACCCCACCCTACCTTCTGTTTAAAACCCATCCTTTTCCTAGCTACCATCAGTTCTGAAGAAGGGTCGCTGGACTTGAAAATGTTAACTCTGATTTCTCTCCACAGATGCTGCCAGACCTGCTGAGTTTTCCAGCAATTTCTGTTCTCGCTTGAGGGAATGTTGGATGTTCTTTTTAATTCTCTAATGGGATGTGGGCATCATTGGCTGGCCAGTATTTACTGCCCATCCCTAGTTGCCCTTGAGAAGGTGGTGGTGAGCTGCCTTCCTGAACCGCTGCAGTCCATGGAGTGTAGTGACAAACAAAAACATAATTGTGTAATAATGGATAATGGAAATGGTCTGAAGGTTGGACAGAATATAAGAAAAAAGCAAAGGAAACAATTGCGAAAGAAGGAAAAACTAAAGTTCAGTTACAAGTACGACTGTTTTGGGAGGCAGTTTCAGAATTTTGACCCAGCCATAATGAAAGGGCAATGATATTGTTCCAAATTCCAGTGTTGAGTGACTTGGATAGGCACTTGTTGGACGTGCATTGGTGTTCCCATGTATCTGCTGCCCTTGTCCCTCTAGATGGTCGAAGTCACATATTTAGAAGATACTTTTGGAGGAAGCTTCATAAATTTCTGCAGTGCATTTACATGGGAGTGAATGTTTGTGAATATTATGCCGATTGAGTGAGCTGCTTTGTCCTGGATGCTATCAAACTTCTTGAGTGTTCTTGGAGCTACTGTCATCCAGACAAGTGGGAAACACCAATGCACCAATCCTCTCACTAGCCACTTCTTCCAGGAACTCAAGAATTTGGTCAGGATCCCAGACCTGTCAGCCTACGGCTACAATAATTTAGTCATTGCCACTTTCCTGGTGACTGTAATTATCTTCAGTTCCTCCCTCCTTTCGTTTTTTTTAGTTTGCTGCTATTTCTGTGATGATACTAATATCTTTCCAGTGAAGTCTGATGCAAAATACCCGTAACAGTTCCTCTGCCATATTCTTCTTTTCTACAGGAACAATACTCGCTTTGTTAACTCTTTTATTTCTATCGATAGAAAATCTCACTAAGTGTTATTATATTTCTAGCTAGCTTTCTCTTGTACTCTAATTTCCCCACATTATAAATCATTCAGTCATTCTTTGCTTTATTTTAATATTCTGTCCAATCTTCAAAGCTACCATCTATTTTTGTGTAATGTTATGCTTTCTCTTTGTCACCACACCCCATGAACTGCAATGGTTCAAGAAAATTGCGCATCACCAACTTCTCTTAGGGCTGAGAAGTAAATGGTATGCCTTCATCCTATGCACGAAAATGAAATAAATGAACATTCCAACCTTCTCCTTGATCCCGAGACCAGCTTCCAATCTCCTATCCACGTCATTGCTGGGATATCTGATTTCTACATTTTACCTCTCTGTCTCAAATGTAACAATGTAAGATCATACAAATGATAATAGGTCATTTCGCCTCTCCACCCTGTTTTGCCAAACAGTAAAATCAATTTTTAACTCTACTTTCCAACATTTTAAATTGTATGACATTAGAATTCTTGTCCTCCTTTTCAAATGCTTTTATGGCCTTCTCTATCCTTATTGACTACAGTCCCCTCCAGCCCTCCAAGATCTCTTTGCTCCTCCAATTCCTGCCTCTCATCCAACCCTGATTTTAACTGCTGCACCATCAGCCTGATGTGTCTGGCTCCAGATTTTCCTCCCTAAACACCTCGGACCCTCTCCCTTTTGCTAAGGAGCTCCACAAAATCTGCCGCTTTGACCAGGTCTTTACTCATCTGCCCTATTATCTCTTCACGCATTCAATTTTCTTTGAAAATGAGGTAGCTCAACACGTTTCACCGTGTTAAAGGCCATGTGCAAATTATCGTGATTGTGGTGTGGCTGTTGAACCAAGTTAATAAAACCATCGCCTAAACGTCCATTTCATTGCTGCTTGTGGGATCTTGCTGTGCACTACCAGTCTGCTACATTTCAAAAATTGTACTACATTTCAAGAAGTGCTGCATAGCCTGTGATGTGCAAAAGTTGTGAGAGTTGCTACAGGTCTGCAGCTTTATGGGCTGTGCAGTCAGGGGTCCACACTTTGTACACACAGACTGTTGGCAGGTCACTGATTTAACTGCAAGTTACTGCACACATATGAACAATTTACGTAACTCTGTTACCTGGACACTTCCTCAGGATAAGCGATTCCCATCTTCTTTGCAATGTCGGTATCTCCTGTGTTCCTGTCTCAAGGAGCCTGTGCGTGTGAACTTTGTCACATTCCGTGGGCTCACTATATGCAGCATGTTTACCATGCTGGGTCAGGATTTTACAGAGCATTGAACTCCAGAACTGCCACAGAAATCCATCTCCAACAGTAGCAATATTTTAAACTTTGAACCTTTGACTGTCCAGGTATAAATCTGTCCTTCCCAAAGGGGTACATTCGTTAAGAAGAAAATTAACTCAATTTGGAAATCACCCGTCGCCATGAATATGACGATATACCATTCATCGCTCTCCGTCTACTTCCCATAATCTCCACTAAGAGGGAAATTTATTCTGATAGGTTTGACAGTGTAGAGAGAGCTTTACTCTGTGTCTAGACCTGTGCTGTCCCAGTCCTAGGGACATTTATTGGGGATGGTGTAGAGGGAGTTTTTCTCTGTATCCAGCCCCATGTGGTCCCTGTCTTGGCAGTGTTTAATGGAGATGCAGTAGAGAGAGTTTTACTCTGTATCTAATGCCATGCTGTCCTTATCCTAGGAATGTTTGATGGGGACAGTGTAGAGAGAGTTTTACTCTGTATCTAATGCCATGCTGGAAGTGTTTGATGGGGGTGATTCTGAGGAAGGGTTACTCAACCTGAAACATTAACGCTGATTTCTCTCCACAGATGCTGCCAGCAATTTCTGTTTGTTTTTGATTTACAGCATCCACAGTTCGTTCAGTTTTTATTTAGTATTTCATCAGACTATTGACTCATAAACCTAAAGGTTCTGTAACACATGGAGAAACACAATCCTATTAATCCCGAAACACTCCTTTAAAATTTCCAAAAACACCCCAGTGTGGTGCCCAAAACTGGTATCCAAAATTGTACAGTGAACAGACCAGAAGATTGCTTTCTCTAACATCTTGATGGATTTAATTTGACTTCAACTCCCAATTGTGAAAAACTGAGAACTTCTTCATGAAACTGCCTCCTTAATAGCATTATGGGTCTACCTGCAGCAAGTGGACTGCAGCGGTCTAAGAAGGCAGCTCACCACCACCTTCTCAACTAGGAATGGACGATAAATGCTGGCCCGGCCAACGACACCCACACACCACAAATGAATAAATAAAAGATTTAATTGGAGTGTGACTTGTTATCTGGTCAAGTGATAATCGGGATTGATAAGAAATTACCCATGGACCGAGTTGATTTACTGCTGGGGAATGATTTGGCAGGAGTGAGTTATAGCTTCATTCTTCCCTTCCGTCTTGTCAGATGAATCCTGGGTAGATAAACTTAGCCCAATGCAGAAGAATAAAAAAGGAAAGCCTTGTAAAATCATTCCTTGCAGTGGCTGCAGGGTTAGTGTATGGTTCTAGCTTTATGCTAGTGATTTATATCGAGAGGCAAGCTCTGAAGAATGAAACAGAAGATAAAAAATGCAAGCCAGCTTGATCTGGACTATGTCTTTGCACATTTTAGTGACAAATTTCTCTCAAATACAGTCTTGTTTATGAAATATTGTGCTTCATCTATAATCCTGGAAAGTCCAGCTGACGCTAAACAGATGGTACAGTTGAAGGAATAGACTCTGTATGCTTCCATTGGGAATGAGCAATAGCTAAGCAAAGTCCATCACCAGAGGTCACAGTAATACTGCAAGCAAATGTCAGGATAGCTGAAACTTTATTTAAGAGTGAGGATAATGCAAGAGAAGTGTTTGCCATATCTTCATGAATTGAGGTTCAGTTTAGGTTCCAGAGTTCAATAAGTTAGCACAGTCAGATTACACTGAAACTGTGGCTGAAGGAGTTCCAGAGTGTTACTGCTTTAAAAACAGAGTTTTGATGAAGAAATGGAGACATTCTAACATACCCACGAAAGAAGAATGGATATCCGAAGGAGATATCCACAAGTAGCGCATAAAATTCCTATGGCAGGTCACCTAGGAATATGAAAAATGCAGGCATCAATAAATTGGTATCTTACATAGCTAGGACTTCATAAAGATATAGTGCAGTTCTGTAAGACATGTCATAAGTGTTAGATGGTAGGAAAACCTTAACCTGTAATCAAATTGGCACCTTTGATACTTGTATCAATTTTTGAAGCTTGATTTTGTCATGTGTTAGTAGTTTCTGTAGGATCATTACTGAAAACAAAAGCAGGACAGCACTATAGGCATTTCCTAATCAACCTGTTCAGAGATGTTATTACACACCTCTGGAGTAGGCAGGAATTGAACCCCAGAGTTAGGAACACTAACACTGCCCACAAGAGCCCCTTAGGACATCAGTATATTCTTACAATTATGGATGGGACAACATGATTCCCAGAACACTCAACTAAATGGGTCTTTAAACAATCTGAAGAAGAGTCAGATCAGACTTGCTACATTGCGTTTCTCTGTCCATAGATGCTGCAAGACCTGCTGAGTTTCTCCAACACTTTCTGTTTTTATTATAACCAAATTGGCTTTTTACAACTGATTATATAGTTCAGACAAGTGGTGTAAATGATCTTCCCAGGTTTGGCTAAAATCAACCAAACTGTTGATATAAATGGTTCAGTTGGACAGTCTTTATTGGCTGATCATTGTAATGTTGCTGGCGTACCTTTCATTCCAAGCGGCGTGACTTTGCACTGATAAAATCCATCCAGTGTTACAAAAGCTGAGAATTCATTGACTCCATCAGTTATTGGAATTTTCCAAAGATCTGTTAGCAAGTCAATTTAGTGACAAATTATGTGTATGCAATTCAACCAATAGAATCCTCCAATCTAGGATTAGGATATGTGTCTGCTTTCATTTATCACATTAACTTTACAAGAATCAATACAATAATTTTGTGACCTATCCAGTTTTGGCATCATCATAACAGGTAAGCTGCAGCTATTTTGACTCAGTTTAACAGTCTTACTGCCCATCATTGACTAAATCTCTTCCCTCACTTGAGTTAATCGCTTTGGATTGAGTCTGTTTGAGTTTTGTTTTGTAGGTAACGCATCCCATAAAATAGCAGCATGAATAAAATTGGTTTTCAAGGCTTGTTCTCATAAATTGATTCATGAACTGTAATAGCCTTCATATGGCATTTTGACAGCCTTTTTGGACATTAAAACATGATGCTGTCTACATTTTAAACACTTCTGTGTTTTCCAAACTGAATATTGGAGTGTCAGCTTTTGAATTTTCCATTTCTAATTCATTCTTTAATTTCTCTGATGTTTCCATTTTTCTCCCTACATCTTTCACTAGCAGAGGTACACTTTTCCCTCAACACTATAAGACCATAAGAAAAACGAACAGGAGTAGCCATTCAGCCCCTTGAACCTGCGCTGCCATTCAATAGGATCATGGCTGATCCAACAACCCTCACACCCACTTTCTTGCATTTTCCCCATAACCTTCGATTCCCTGACTGATCAAGAATCTATCTCAGCTAAATGGATTCTAAATCTTCCAAATCCAGATCACCTCTCACAACTGTCCTTACTTCATCTCTTATTAACAGTGCTACTCCAATATCTCTTCATTCCCTACTGTCTTTCTGAAGGCTCAGGTATTCCTGAATGTAAAGTTCTTAGTTCTGATCTACCTGTAACCATGTCTTTGTAATGGCTATCCATTTACCGCAATTTGAGCCACCAGTTCACCTATCTTATTCCAAATGCTTTGTGCATTCAGATACAGAGCCTTTAGTCTTGCCTTTTTGTCATTTTTAATCATCCTAATTTTTCTTGAACAGTAGCCCTATTTGCTCGCTACCTTGCTTACCCTCTCTACCGTTTTTGCATTTTACTGTTATTTCATTACGGTAGTTGTTTCTCTTTCCCTTGTCATCCTGCTTCGGCTCCCACCACCACCCACCTCCCCCTCTCCCCCTTCTAATTTAAACCCACCCCAACCGTACTAACAAATACTTGCCTTAGGACATCAGCCCCAGTCCAGTAAGTTGTTGAGTTTCCATTGGTTCCACCTCCCCTAGCATTGGTACCCAGTGTCTCAGAATCTGAAACCCTGTCCCTTGAGCTGTCTTTCCAGCCACATATTTATTTGATATATCCTGTTACTTCTACTCTGTCCAGCACCAGGCACTGGTAGCAATCCCAAGATCACTACCTTTGAGGTCCTACTTTACAACATACTTCCTAACTCACTATATTCAGCTTTCAGGACACTATCGTCCACATCACAATATCTTTTTAATAATCAAACATGACACACTTGCTGAGCCTTTCTTCTACCTGGAGTACTTACGACATAATTTATATCATTGAGTTTCTGATTGATTTGGTAAGCTCCAGTGAATCTCTGCTTTTAATGAGAGAGGCAACAACACTGACACCTTGTTTTTTGATTTGATTTGATTTATTATTATCATTATGTATTGAGATACAATGGAAAGTAACATTTTGAACTTTTGCCATTTGTCTGCTCTTGTTTTCATTAATTGTCGAGCGTGCTTCATTTTCTTTTGCCAACCTCATGTTCATTAGTTTCTATTTCTTGGAAAGTTTCAGAGTATTGTTTCTGAGCTTTAGCTTATCAACTTCTCTTTAATTAACTCCTGGATGCCTGCAGTGAGTGCCTCACGGTACAGGTCACGTGACTCGGCAAGCAGGAGGCATCTTAGTAAAGTATTGCATTTCTATTCCAAACAGTTGGCTGCTACGAATTTAAATTTTCAGAAAGTGAAACTCTAGACAGGGAGGCTGAAGTCTGGTATAAACGTGAACAAAAAAAGACAGTAGCATGTCAACACTTATGTAGCTGGTGTAGCCTTTGTCTTCAAAAGAAAGCCAGGCAGTAATAAATACTCACAGAGATTCAGTCAAAATCACTGTTTGACAATAGAGTTGTTGTTGGTGCTCTCCCCGGAACCAAGTCTGAAAGCAAAGTAATATTTTATGTTGGTAGCACTTACACTTTTGAGACAGAAGGGTGTGGCTTTGAGCCCTGAGTCTGCAGACTTGAGTAAACAAGATCCTAT